ATAGTTCATAATGTTTCCAAATGCAATTTAACAGACTCGTAGTGCGTGCATCATTGGAGTTTGGAAACTTTTCAGCTGGTATAAAAATGTTTTTAATGATTATATTTGTTGTTCCTCCAAGATGTTTCTCATTTATCGGTGTGTGTAACAAAATTGCGGAGGATTTCGTTTTTAATTTTTCAAAATCGTTACACGTCAAATGCAGGAAAGAATTTTCGCAATTAAATGTTTGGTTTTTGACAACATCCATTGCTATAGTTAAATCATGCAAACGGCTTTTAATAACTTGCTAAGATTCAAGTTCGGATTTCGTGTTCGTGTTTGTCCCCCAAATATGCCGTACTAAATCTTTCATCGATTGATTATCAAAAACACGCACCATTAGAGTTCCCTCATTAAGAAATTTCATAAATATATGACGATTGATGTCTGCAATTTTCTCATTTACTTCCATTAAAGCTGCTTTGGTCCGTATTAACTGTTTTTTAAATGATGAAGACGAGGATTCAATTTTCTTATCATAAGCCTTTAATAATTGTTCATCAAACGAAAACTGAATCGATTCATTTATCAAACTTGTTTCCAATTCATCTAATCTGGCCTTTTCTTCTAAAATTTCGGAAAGTATATCGGGATCGCCTGGATCGGCTTCAATCTATATATTTTTTAAAATTTAAAATAAAATTTAAAATAAAATTAGATTATGAAAAGTTTTTTAAATTCAATTTACCAAAATTGATGCGAGAGTTAGAATCAATAGCGCGAATAACTCCATTTCTTCGAAATTAACGAAGACTGACTGAAATATTGGTTTTATACCAAATTTTACTCCAATAATTGTGAAAATATATACACTCCTATGTAGAAACTATTTTAAATGTATACAGTCTGTTATTGACTAATGTGAATATTTTAAAAAATATTTTTATTTGTAGTTATCATCATTCGATTTTTCTTGTTTCTATCTGAGCCTGCATCCACACGTGTAATATTCTGAATTAACAAAAACAACGTTTCAACACATTTTCGGTTTGATACGTCAATCTAACTACGGAAAATGTGTGAATCGTCGATATTTTTCTGAACAAATATATATTATCTTGTGTATAACATTTTATTTGACATAGGATTTGATACACACACTCATCCGTCTCTTTAGCCCCCAAAAAAATAATTATTGTTACTGTTAATCGTCATTTCTTGTTCTTTCGAATGCGAAAAAACTGTTTCAAGATTTTCGACAGCAATCGTAATCTGCCCACAAAGAAAAATGATTTTTCTATTGTCCACGTTGATATTTAACTAATAACTATATGTGCTAGCAGAAACTTTACAAAAATATGGATTCGTTCCAAATAAAAACCATTTTTTTCAAATATTTTTTAGTCGTTTATTATCTTATTTGAAGATTACAACAATGTGGTGTTAATTCCATTTTACAATTTTTTTCGTTTTGTTCCCCAAAATCTAGTTGTAGTGTTGTGGATGTAGTAATTCTAGCACCATTATCAAACTTTGAATTTTAGATGTGTGCGAGTCTCGGAACTGCTTATATTGTTCATAATGTTTCCAAATGCAATTTAACAGACTCGTAGTGCGTGCATCATTGGAGTTTGGAAACTTTTCAGCTGGTATAAAAATGTTCTTCTTGACAGAGCTACTTGTTCCTCCAAGATTTTTCTCATTATTCGGTGTGTGTAACAAAAATGCGGAGGATACGTCTTTTAATTTTCGAAAATCGTCACACGTCAAATACAGGAAATTTTTTTCGCAATTAAATGTTTGGTATTTGAAAATATTCATTGCTAAAGTTAAATCATGCAAACGGCTTTTAATATCTAGCAAAGATTCAAGTTCGGATTTTGTATTCATGTTTGTCGCCCAAATAAACCGTACTAAATCTTTCATCGATTGATTATCAAAAACACGCACCATTAGAGTTCCTTCATTAAGAAATTTCATAAATATATGACGATTGATGTCTGCAATTTTTTCATTTACTTCCATTAAAGCTGCTTTGGCCTGTTTTAACTTTCTTTCAAATAATAAAGACGAGGATTCAATTTTCTCATCATAAGCCTTTAATAATTGTTCATCAAACGAAAACTGAATCGATTTATTTATCAAACTTGTTTCCAATTCATCTAATCTGGCCTTTTCTTCTAAAATTTCGGAAAGTATATCGGGATCGCCTGGATCGGCTTCAATCTATATATTTTTTAAAATTTAAAATAAAATTTAAAATAAAATTAGATTATGAAAAGTTTTTTAAATTCAATTTACCAAAATTGATGCGAGAGTTAGAATCAATAGCGCGAATAACTTCATTTCTTCGAAATTAACGAAGACTGACTGAAATTTCGTTTTTATACCAAATTTTACAGCAATAATTGTGAAAATATATACACTCCTATGTAGAAAATATTTTAAATGTATACAGTCTGTTATTGACTTATGTGAATATTTCAAAAAATATTTTTATTTGTAGTTATCATCATTCGATTTTTCTCGTTTCTATCTGGGCCAGCATCCACACGTGTAATATTCTGAATGAACAAAAACAACGTTTCAACACATTTTCGGTTTGATACGTCAATCTAACTACGGAAAATGTGTGAATCGTCGATATTTTTTTGAACAAATATATATTATCTTGTGTATAACATTTTCTTTGGCATAGGATTTGATACACACACTCATCCGTCTCTTTAGCCCTCAAAAAAATAATGATTGTTACAGTAAATCGTCATTTCTTGTTCTTTCGAATGCGAAAAAACTGTTTCAAGAAAAATATGGATTCGTTCCAAATAAAAACCATTGTTTTCAAATATTTTGTAGTCGTTTATTATCTTATTTGAAGATTACAACAATGTGGTGTTAATTCCATCTTACAATTTTTTTTCGTTTTGTTCCCCAAAATCTAGTTGTAGTGTTGTGGATGTAGTAATTCTAGCATCATTATCAAATTTTGAATTTTAGATGTCTGTGAGTCTCGGAACTGCTTATATAGTTCATAATGTTTCCAAATGCAATTTAACAGACTCGTAGTGCGTGCATCATTGGAGTTTGGAAACTTTTCAGCTGGTATAAAAATGCTTTTAACGAATACGTGTGTTGTTCCTCCAAGATATTTCTCATTAATCGGCGTGTGTAACAAAATTGCGGAGGATTTCGTTTTTAATTTTTGAAAATCGTTACACGTCAAATGCAGGAAAGAATTTTCGCAATTTAATGTTTGGTTTTTGACAACATCCATTGCTATAGTTAAATCATGCAAACGGCTTTTAATATCTTGCAAAGATTCAAGTTCGGATTTCGTGTTCGCGTTTGTCCCCCAAATATGCCGTACTAAATTTTTCATCGATTCGTTATCAAAAACACGCTCCATTAGGGTTCCTTCATTACGGAATTTCATAAATATATGACGATTGATGTCTGCAATTTTCTCATTGACTTCCATTAAAGCTGCTTTGGCCCGTATTAACTGTTTTTCAAATGAGAAAGACGATGATTCAATTTTCTCATCATAGGCCTTTAATAATTGTTCATCAAACGAAAACTGAATCGATTTATTTATAAAACTTGTTTCCAATTCATCTAATCTGGCCTTTTCTTTTAAAATTTCGGAAAGTATATGGGGATCGCCCGGATCGGCTTCAATCTATATATTTTTTAAAATTTAAAATAAAATTTAAAATAAAATTAGATTATGAAAAGTTTTTGAAATTCAATTTACCAAAATTGATGCGAGAGTTAGAATCAATAGCGCGAATAACTTCATTTCTTCGAAATTAACGAAGACTGACTGAAATTTCGTTTTTATACCAAATTTTACTCCAATAATTGTGAAAATGTATACACTCCCACAGCCGGTGTATATTTGTATGAGATTGGAGACTTTTTTTTGCGAATCTCGCTAATGAGCGCCATCTGATTTTAGTGTGAATTAGATGCAAAAACTGAATTTAATTCTGTAGCATTGAAATGAAAAAGTGAAAAAACAACAACAATAGCACGGCCACACAGAGCTGTACATCTATGCGTGCTGATGCATACATACACATATACGCTTTCTTCATTCTTTCATTCCATTGCTATACGTATCTCACTGGTCAACAGATCTATGTAGCCATGTTACTGTTGTTGTTTTTTTTCTCTTTTTCGATTCAATTCATTGTAACTAAATTGAGTTCAACTATGGAATACAAGATGGCACAGATGAGGGGAATTCGCATTTTGTCTCTTCATAGGCTTAGCCGGTTGCACTCCCATGTAGAAAATATTTTAAATGTATACAGTCTGTTATTGACTTATGTGAATATTTCAAAAAATATTTTTATTTGTAGTTATCATCATTCGATTTTTCTCGTTTCCATCTGAGCCTGCATCCACACGTGTAATATTCTGAATTAACAAAAACAAGGTTTCAACACATTTTCGGTTTGTTATTGAACAAAAACATATTATCTTGTGTACAGACAATATATATAGATTTTGTCATCTGGATATTTCAGCTCATCTGGATAACGTTAAGCGATGATACGAAATGAAAACAATATAAGTGATTGTTGTATTGTATAGGTATAAAAATACTACCATAACTATAACAATCACTTCTATTTATTCATTCAATCTGAATATTTTGTCTGCTTGTGTATAACATTTTATTTGGCATATGATTCCAACTTGGTCACCTTTGCTTCATCGAGAAAAAACACCTCTAACAAATATAAAAGCGGAAACAATTTTATGTATTGCGATTATAATTGAAATGACGAACATTAAATGTTGTTAGCAAAACAGATCGAAATACGGAAGACCTGTGTTGTTTCCATAGCCTAGTAACAGCTGATGAAAACCTCGTTACAAAAAACCTTTCAAACGTTTTACACAACCTTACACGTTTTGTTTTGATAAACAAGCTTTCATGTGCTTTTGAAATCTGCCACTTGAATGAGCTTTGATCGTTTTCTGAAGCTTTTTCAAAACTGAACGTTTTGATCATTTTGTTTTAATCTTTTTCGGTTTCAAACTAAGAACGAAGTCTTTCTCAGAATGCACTTGTTATGAAAACCTCATTTCTATAGATTTTGCCAAGCGATAACGGCTTTAGATTTTATGCACAAAAGAAATGCAAGTCCCTCATATGTAATTTTTTTTTGTTATGAATAGAAGACGACTTATTCTGTGTTCTACTCACATAGAAACAAAAAGAGTGTGTTTCATTTTATGGCCACGGATCATTCGATACGGACTGTTGACCAAACGAAGAGAATCGTCCGGACAGTCCAAACGATCGACAATAATTATAAAATGTTATTGTTAATTCATTGCATGAACATCCGCCTCAAGTGGAATTTCGTTGTATACTTTTTTGCGCTTCCCTTTCATTTCACCTTTATTTAATACGCGCTAGACGAATAGAATATTATTCGACGCAATCATGAAATAAACGCTTCTAGCTAAACAATGTTCACTTGTTTCTTCACTGGGAAATCGAACTTTTTTCAAAAATTGCTACAAGAACGACCATTTGGAGAGCGGGAAATCAAACAATTGGCATTCTTGTTCCGGTGTTGCATTGATGTAATTGAATTGAATATTTGAAAACCGTTAAATACTACTTTAAATCGGCATCGATTTTAACCACTTTTTTCTCTTTACTGAAGTTCTCGCTCTAACTTTGATATAATTGGATTCGTCCGGAATGAGCAAGTAAAAATCCAGTAATAATGAGCCGTTTAGAACAAATAAAGAGCTGTTGAGAAAACGTGAACAAAAAGAGTGGATATTCTTCTTGTGATGAAGCGGAATTTCTTGAATGAGATTGTTTGATAGCGTAAATGAAAACACAATCGCTCGTGTTTTGATCTGCAGTCGGTTTTTTATCTTTGATCGTTAAAATATTCCGCAAACAGAATCTCACCTTCACTTCGCTAATTCCAATAGATGGATTGGATAGATTGCATAACATGAAATCAGACAAAAGAACTTTGCTGCAATAAAATAGAGCCGATTTGCGAAATATTTATGATTTATGGTTGTTCTGTTTTTAGCAATTTTTTCTATGTATTTCTGGTCCAATAAATTCAACGAGGTTTGCGTGAATTGTAACAAAAATCGGGAGGGAAAGCCAACGGAAATCACAACAAAGTATGTTGCAATCACATCGTCAATTGATTTGATTTGTAACAACATACATTCTGGACAAATATACCTATTTGAAAACTACACACAATAATATGTAAAAAAGGTAATCGTTCCGCTTGATTTTGCATTAGAAAATGCCAAAAATTGAACTATTCGACGATTGGCATTTATTTTCTTTTTCATTCGATTTGGATCTATTTTTCAATTTTTCTCAATGTTGCTTTTTTCATCATCATCATCGTTCGTCATCCAATTTAAAAAAATGTAGCTCGAATTATTCACACAAACCATTGACCTAAAACAGATGATACCATTTTCACTAATTACCAGATCGTGTTACATACACTTCCCATTCCAAATGACTGTCTCATTGAAATCCATCCACTTTTAAATTGTTTTCACACTTGATGTCGTGCGATCATCGTTCAACTACGTTTTATGTTTCGTGTTGTGATCGACTCATTCAGATCGATACGTGTAAATTGGATGATCAAAATAAATACATTCCGACCGTTTAAAAAAAATTATAACTTGTCATTGATTCATCAGTGGAAATAATCGAGTCCAAAACAAGTGATAAACAAATATTTCTTTTTTTTTCTCCTCTTTAAATTCCACAGAAGCTACGATTTTCGGTTAATTCATGCAGTTTTCGTCTGTCTCTTTTACTCTTTTTATTTCGTGCTTGCATTCGTGACGAGCATTACGCGCACACCTGTACACCATTCACCTACCGTACATTGTATTTATGTGCTACAAAGTCTAAACACACCCATACAATTGTATGAGAAATCAAATGAAAACAACGCAATATACAACAGACTGCGACGCCGTTCCAATGAGGGTCAGTCTTTAGTAAACAGTCGACGCGCTAACGTTGTTTCGCTCATTTTCTTTCGGCATCGTTACTATTTTATTTTACAATCATCGATTAAATTGTTTGTACAGTGTGATTTGAACGATTTCTAGGTGGAAGTGATAAAAAAAATCGCGATATTTATAAATCGCTTTGTTTGCCTATTTTGTTCAAAATGTACTTTGTGGTGAAAACACTGAAATTACGATGTAAAAAGTGCTAGATTGTGTTTAAAACACATTATCGACTGGATTTTTCTTCAATATAATGGCAAAAAAGCGAGTGAATTGAGAAAGCGACAAAAAAGAACAGTTTAATTTTGAGGTCGAACACACATTATATTGAAAAAGTGATTGATTGTGCGGTGCTTCTTTAAAATGGCTTTTTTTGTGCACTAATTTTACAATGTGCTGAAATCAAAGCAAACGAGAAAATGATGTGTGCAGAATTTTTCAATTGAAAACTAATCAGTGGAATCGTTTCAGCACATAAATCTGTCATCTAAATTGCTTATTTTTCAGTATCGTGCTGAGGGTTGATGTGTGATTTAATCTCTTCGTTGCAATTAACCTGGAAAAACATTCCATAACAATCACACAATAGATGAGCACGAAAACTTCAAAAAGAATATGAACACAACAGTAACAACAACAACAACAACAAAAATTGAATTGGCTACGAAACGGGAACGTTTTAATTCATACTGTACTGTGATCTTTTCCCTTTTAGTGAACGTGCTAGAACGTGTGGTTTTCAGATTTCTAGCTATCGCTGTCGTCGTCGGTGTAATTGAAATTGTTCTCTGACGCGCACACTTTCAAGTGATACGTTCTTCTTTTTTTTGTTTTGTTTTCACGATTTATTGTAATTCAGATTTCGAGGTCATCCGAACGTGTATTATCTCTCTCATTTGTGTACATATGTACATTGTTTTACATCGTCAGCAATTAACGAATAGTTTAATATATATGTTTTCTGCACTCCCTGCTATTTCATGGTCATTTTTGAATGTGAATTGTGATAGCTCCTGTGCGATTTGACCGGAGGAGGAATGCGATAAATCGCATATACGGTGTGAAAAATATAGAAAGGAAAAACGGTTCCTCTGTCAAAAAAAAAGCTATTAAATTTTCGACTGCAAATTATGCTGTAATTTATGACTGACCACATTGCGATGAATTTTGAATTAGATTTTGAAGGATAAAAGTGATGGGAATTAGAAAATTCTAAATATTTTGTGGTAGACCCAGAAGAAAGAACACACCGAATCGTCATTGGTGCGAGGGCATTAAGCTGTGTGAAAACCACCTTTCGAAATGTTGCAATTCTAGGTTTGGTGTTATCGCAAAATAAATGTGTGTAAAACGTTACACATACGGCGAAGAAGTCAAGTACATGCATTTTATTTCTCTGCTGTGATTGCTTTTTGTACGTGATTTACGTGTATTTGAATTTATATTATAATACGCAATTGAATAAGAAGATTACTGTAATTGCGGAAATTACTTGACAATTGTAAAGACGATTGAACTATTGTATCTTGTGCACGAGCGACGACAAAAGTCGATAAAATCACAGGTGTCACCTTAACTATTACGGAAACAATAGTTAATTTATATCGATCCTATTATTTCGGATTGCCCAAAATTCATTTCTGTTTTCAAACGGTTTTTTCTTTTGTCTAAATGCTATCAATACCATTCGAATTCGTTCACCATGAAAACCCGACCTTATCATGCTTTCAAAATTACATTAAAACCGTCAAGATTTTCTCTTTGTTTTCTCGAAAAACGAATGTGATAGTTTACGGGTCAATAACCATTGGGTGTTTGGAAAAGTCTTCGGAATTTCGAATTGAGATCACTTAAGTTTGAAAACGTGCCATTGAATTTGTAAAAGTAAATACGATTATCTATCAGCCTTGAGTGCATTTCCGATTACGTCGAAATCTTTCGTCAGTATCACGTTTTAAGTAATTTCAATCAAGACGTTGATAATAACAAAATCATACTAAGTGCGGTGCGTATATTGCAAAACGTATGCGATACATAAGGTTAATAGTATGCATGACTGGTGGGTAAACAAGTTGATTTATTGGCTTCGAAAGTCCTTTCAATTTATTGGAGCGAATTGAGTGCTTATTCTTTCATTTATCATTGTTTATTTATTTATTATCGTCGACACACTTTTTTGCATCAAAAATTTGACCAAACAAAATCAGAAGCAATAAATCGCAAGTGAAATTACGTGTTATATGATTTTTTTTTTTTGCTTTTAAAATCGACTTTATTTGAGACATTTTATATCATTTATGCGCTGGCACAAAAAATGATTTGTATAAATGTGTTATTAGCGTGTTTTTTTTTCTCTCGCCTAAACACCCAATAAAATTCACACTATTTTTTTCTTCTTCGTCATCATTTCGTCTGTAATAAAGAAGGCGAAACGAAACCCGTTCAATGAATAATAACGAATCATATGTAAAACTAATGTGCATTTGAAAATTGCGTGATTTTAGCAATCTTGGCACATTCTGGGTAAAGTGGAGTTGAATGTTGAAATCAGAGCTCAATAAAACGTATTTGAAGTGAATCGAAAAGAAACCTTATTACGCCAAAATGATCTCAGTCAGTACATAGTTTTTGTTTGTTTGCTTCATCTTTGCAATGAGAGAGCGAGAAAAAACTCAACCGTTTGAATAATAAATTCACATAATTATAATAACGATGTGTCTTCAATTGACTGACGAGCCGCTAAGATGTGCGAACGAAGCACATCGATCGTTGTTGCATTGGGCCTGAGAAGATTTTTTTTCTTTTCCAGGTACCTTCATCTCTCTCGCTCTATGTCTATCCCTCTCTATCACTCGCCAGCAAATTGTTTTGTCAATGTGAACGCAATGTACTTTGCAAACCAAAGCGAAGACAATTTTTTTTCTGCTTTCAATTTGAGTGTTGTGAAATCTCTCGTATACATGTGGAAATGGGTAGATATTTTTTTTTGATATACACGTGCATAATTCAATTCGCCATCAAACTAGGTCTTTCGTTCGTTCGCTCTCTCGATCGACTTGATGAGAAGAAAAATGCGCACAGAAGAAAGTGCACTTGGTGTGGTGCTTACACATTGCGGTAATCGGAGCAATGGTTTTCTTTCACATCCAAGATATCGTTACTGCCTGACGAATGGACGAATGCACAAGCACATGCAATGAATTAATTTTTCATAAAAGTAAATCTCATCTCTCTCGGAGCACGGAACGGAATTGGGTATGAAGTCCAATGAAAAAATGTTCGCACTTTTTTGTGTCTATCAGTGAATTTTCGTCAGCCATCCAGCCATCTCTAAAGCAATGACAATATATATTATAATTGAATCTTTTCTTTCTTTTTGCAAAAATGTATGACGTTGTTGGCAGCAACTGTGCAATGTATTTTGCTATGCATTTTTGCATTTTGATGCACGGTCCCAACTTTACTACTTGTAATCAGCCACAGATCGTTGCATTTACGGTTACAAAATATGCACACCACACGCTGAACCAAATACAGAGATTTGAAACAAACAACAACAAAAAAAATGCACATAATAAATGGAAAGAAAACCAGTGGTCAATTTGTAATTTATATTATTTCATCTCTATGTAGTTTCGTTTCGAGTTGGTTTTCCGTTTCGTTGTTCAAATAAATGGCCGTGTTTCGTTTGGATGAATTGTTCAGATGCAAGCAGCAGATCGGTTTCTATTTTATTTCTCCGTGTGTGTGTGCGTTTTTCTGTTTCTATTCAACGACAATTCGCAAACCATGACGGACACAAGACAAAAGTCGTATCATCATTTCACAATGCTTGGAAATTTCACAGAAAAAATGAAGATGCAAACAGCCATTTATAGTTGAAATGGCAACGCAATTTCAATGTTTTGTTTCTACAAATATTTGTGATTCCATACAATTTTCAAGCGAAATATGCACATTACTATTTCGATAATTCGTACAGCGATTCCGTTTCATAAATTTCTGTTCGACTCAAAAGCATCAGAGCTGTACGACTGAAAAAAGCAGCAATCGATAATGTTTGAAAAGAAACAAATATGAATTGTCGCTATATGCAGTGAATTGCGATTTACAGATTTTCGATTGTTTTTCCCCACTTAATTCATTGACCGGAAATTTTCACTTTGCTCAATGCAATGATAAATATATTTTGTTTTTATCATTGAGCAATTTCTTTTGTATTTCGTTGTTATTCACGTTATGCCCACTTCTCTTTCTTTTTTTTCATTTACGTGGCGATCGCCGTTTTGACTGTGTGTGAGCATTGCATCGTTCGTTCGTTTTTTTTTTTTTTTTTTTGAGAAATTCTATTAATCAATGCATAAACCGAATGATCATGCGATCTTGGCCACACAATGCATTGCATCAAATTCGATTTCTTTCTTTTTTTTCATTTATCGTCTCAACGCGCGTGTGCACATTTCGCCAAAATCGAAATCTTTGAGCGAGCAAACCAGCTGATACGCGACCACAAAACGGTGGAACAAGCGCTTTAATGACGCAAAATACAAACAAAGCATAGCTAGGGGACGGACACCATTATAAAGACTAGAATATTAGTAAAATATTAGCAAAAAATAGTAATGATTATTTTAAAATATTAATACGTGCGCACTTTGTTTTGTTACGTGAAGTAAAAAAAAAATACTAAAAATAGTATTTAGTACAATAAATATTATTTTCGTTTAAAATAAAAGAAATAAAATAAAAAAAACTTGTAAAAAAACTTGTTCATTAAAGAATTTATGAAAAAATAATTAAATGAGTTCAATTGGAGATCAGCTGTTTGGCTTTTGACATTTATCCGTATATACGTATCGCTCACTTTACGTAATACAAGAAATACGTATTTGTCAAACAAGTTGAACGGTTGGTCTCAAATTTAACTCAAATGGTTTGGCGCAGCATTCGAATCACATCAAATCGACAACATGGTAAGTATTCAAAATAAAAATAATACATATATTTTTTAATGAAAAAATTAAAAAAGATCAAAGATATTTGATATGTTCAATAATGACAACATATTTTTTTTTCTTAAACTTTTAGCCGAAAATTAAACGTAAACAGGCTACGTGCTGGGAAAAATTAGAAAAAACGCTCGATGATGATTTGCCAGAATGTATTAAAATTTGCCTCGAAAGTGCTGGTTATGATACAATAATCAGCTTGAAACAAATTGACGCAGAGAGAATTCGTGAAATCGAGGCACATCTCACAGAATATCGCTCCTGGGAGAACGAACTGGTCTGTTGTAACAGTGACTATTACAGAGAATTGGCTGATTTTAAGTTCAAACCGGGACATAAAGTGCGAATCTTGGCAATCCCAAAGCAAATCGAGGAGATGGCAACTGGCAGTCACACACAAAGTAACGCTAGAAGTACTGGTACAAACAAGAAGGAAACAAATCAAAGTGACGAAGATCTGGTCGAGAATTTGATTTCAAATTTGATGGCATTTATGGAAAAGTGTGAATTTCCGCTCCCAGTTGGTATGATCAGCACAAATAACATTCGGAATTTTCATCGAGGAACCGATAATGATAGTTTCGTTTGCAAATGTCGTTTTGCCTGTCCATTCTGCGAAAAAACCATTCCAATTACATTCAAAAAATTTTGGATGTCAAGTAACGCAACGACGCACTTGAAAACTCATGTCCAGCTCGAATTTCTCGTCGATCCAAACCTTGTTGAGGAACACCATGAAAGTTAGAATGAGTTCGAATATATTGACGATTCAAACCACGGTTCATCATAAAATGTGTTCACGCAAGCAATTTAAAAGACTGCGATATTAGTATTATGTTTGAAAAAAAAAACAAAGTTAAGTTAAATCAAAATGTTAATGCTATGTTTGCAAAAAAATTATATTGAAAATAAAAATCACTGTTTGAAAATAACACATTTTACCTAACTTCTTTTATTTAAACTGAAATTCATATTGAGATACTGACATTTATAGAAAATCACGGAAAATCACATAAACTTCTTATAAATAAACTTTATGACTTTCTTTAACTGAATAAACGATGTATATATAAAAAAAATGGTTGATGAAAAAACGTTAATGAATATTTTTATTGCTGATATTAACAGCATTAGTTTCCAAGTTTGAAACATTCTACCGAACAAACAACTTCACCATCATATAGCCGAACCGGTAAATCATCACGAAATGCTTTCTTGCAAACGCAGCAAACTACAGAACCATAATTATAATGTTTCACTGGAATTGCTTTTCGGCCTGATTTTCGTGTCGGTGCAATTTCAGCTTGGGTGGTCGTGAGATTACGTTTAATACGCACATTACGGTCATACGATCCGGCATTAGGACGACTGACTTTAGCTAGAATAAAAAAAATCACACATTTTACATTTTTCCTTCATTGATTTTAATTAGTGTATAATTTACCCCGTCGATCAACTAAAACACGTGGTTCAATCAAGGCTGGTTGCATATCAGTTACATTCAACGCAACAATTTCAACGGCGTTTTGTTCATTTGGTTCAATTTGAACAATTGAGGCATTTTCACTTCGGTCGTTAGCTACATTATTCGCTTCTTTGACTGCACCAAAATGTAAACCACCAATTGCATCGCTTGTGACCATGTTTTCTTCACGATCGGCAACAGCTGAAGTAGAATTGATTATTATTTTCCACATGTTTCACATTTGTTTATTGTGATAAATTTTTATAATCATTGCATGTAAAAGTACCTCGGTTTTGTTCAACCAAAATGGGTGTTCCATTCACCGCTTGTTCAAGATTAACAGCAATTCCAATGAAGTCTTGAGCATTTGCTTCAATTGGTATGTCTTTATTGGCATCCATGCGTTCGATAGGAATATTGTTCAATTCATCGAAGTAACCGAATTGTGCATCATCAAATGCATCGCTTGGGTCTTCTTTTTTGTTACGTTCGACATCATCTGAAGCGAAATATGATTATTATTTTCCACAGTTTTTGCTTTTTTTCATTGTGATACATTTTAATAATCATTGCATATAAAAGTACCTCGGTTGTGGTCGACCAAAATGAGTGATTCAATCACCATTGGTGTCGGAACAGCAATTTCAAGGTTGCTTTGTTCATTTGGCGCGCTTTCTTCAGTTGGTGCGATGACATTATGACTTTCCACAGAACGAGTGTTTGATTTATAACCATTGAGTTTCATATCATCATTTGAATGAACAATGGACGGATTTTGACTGTCCATATCTTGATCGATCGATAACTTTTCGTTTGACGAATTCAGAGCAACGTTTCCATCAAAAACAGCCACTGCTTTTTCGCCTGATTTTTTGACTACATTTGTCACATCACCATTTTCGACCATGAAATCTTCTCCTAAGCCCCCGACAACAGCCAAAACATTTTCATCGTCAACATCATGTACCACGTGGTTATGGTTTTCAATATCTTCTACCCCGTCGCCGTTGTTTGGCATTCCTGTTGGTTCCAAATTAATCGATTGTAAGCCGACATCTTCTGTCCAGAGATGTAATGGTCCAGCGTGGCGCATCAGAAGACGTTTTGGGCACAATGGACAAAGTGTGACCCTTAAAGAAAAATGATACCTATATACAAATCTGTTATTTTAAAATAGAAATTTCTTACTTGTTTTTCACTGCATCATCGAAGCAATCAAGATGAAAAACGTGACCACAACTTGCCACTTTTAGCATTTTTACTGTCTCGCCAAACAAGCGGTCTTGGCAAAAAACGCAATTCATTTTTTTATGAAAACGGTGACAAAAAAATAAGTGGTGTTTGCTTGCTTCAAGTTTTTGAAATGAAAACCTTATTGCTATTGGCGGTAATTAAAGCGTCTATGCAAGCAACTAGAACTGTTGCATTTTGACAGAATCAAAAGTGACTCTAAGTGTCAAATATGTATTTGTCTGTTGTATGTCAAATGTCAAATATCTCAATGACTTTGACCGAAAATAAATACGACGTTGAACATATATTTCTATTTTAAATTTAAATAATACAAAATTCTCTCTTTAAAGTAAAAGGAAAATGAGATGAATGGTTAGGTGATGTAAAAGGAATAAATAAAAAGATAAGAATTTTTAATTTCATAAAACAACAAGTAATCTTCATTTTTATTGATTTAATGGCCATCATTTGCATAATGATTTTAACACCTAGTTGATCAAGAAGAAAGAAAAAGGCTGAATTCTAAATCAAGTATTTTATAAATGTAATTAATGAAAAAAGAATCATAAAGAATAACATTAATTTAAAGAAGATTGATCTCTTTTTCTTAATTTTTAATTTCGCACTCGCTTCCATCGGTCGTTACTAATTTTTTCAGTGGGTTCTGTCAGCATCCAAATATACGTTGACTTGCGTATCTTCCTTTTTACATTGTTTTCATCGCGAACTAGAATATAAGGTGAATTTTCGTCTTCTATTGAGTTTTCGTCTTGGTTTGTTTCGATTAGTTCGATGTCAGATTCGATAATAAATTCATGCAGATCTTCTTCTCCATTATTTTCTGAATCGTCGTCGTCTACATCAGTAATTGAAATGCATTTGAATTCAAATTCATCAATATCAGTAAATGTAAACATTCCAAGCTTTCTTGCATTTTTAATTGCTTCCGACTTCGCACGCACAATGGTTGCATTGATTTCGTCGTCTGACGGTAAATCATATATGGTAGTTTTTCCGACTCGTTTGTTTGGGAAATTGATGTTTTCATTGTCTAGCTTGAAGTAGGCAATTTCGTGTTGAACTTCTACTCTTCCAATCATGTGTAACAATTCGTATATACTGAAGTTGATTTTAGTGTATTGAGTTGTACCCATTGAACGAAATACGCGAAAGGTTTTTTCACATCCTTGACTGTCGAAAAGCGCTGGCAAAAACTGTTTTGGGTTATTTTCTTCTCGAAACTTCTTAATTAAACGAATAATATTTCTGGCATTTATTTCTGAACACATGTATGCATTGTAGGTAATGAAATTGTCGCTTAGTGTGTATGAAGTGGTTGATATGATGTACTGACGCCAAATTCGAATGAAAAACAGGCCATGCCAAATTTTAAATATACGTTCTGTTGGAGTTAAATCGAGACTTAAGTAGCTTGATGTAATGTCGCGACTTATTTCCAGGTATTGAACCGTTGCATCACTGGATCTTACGTATGTTTTTAATGATTCGATAACTCGATCATGAGTTACTTTTTCAAAAGAACCATAGTTCATGCGATCAATTGGGCAAACATCCATTTGTGACAGACCATGTATGCTTTTTTGAACATCTTTAACTAGCGATTTCAAATGATTTATCGACACTTTGTATTGACCCATTGGCATATTGATTGACGGTTTCAACATTCTATTTCGCATTTTTGCCGCCAAATGGATAATGTCCTGAGTGACTATGACATTTTCTCCTGGTGAATCACACATTTTCACACACATAGCTGCCAATAGCTTTGGATCGCCGTCAGACGATATGCCGACTACTTCAATGCCATACCTAAAATATGAAAATATATAGCGTATAATCTAAATATATATCTGACAATTTATAATTTTTACTTTCTAAGCTCAGCTATTGTCAAATCCCATCGACGGACTACATCTTGAGCCGTAAAAGAACCAAGAGTTGTACCAAACATTTGCAAAATGAAGGGGGGCACACATTCATCTAAGGCCTGTGCAATAACCACATATGCATTTTTTGATTTTTTTAGCTCAATGCATCGCTTGATCATATCAGCATCTTTTGCCAGAAAGCTGGATATAAAAGACAAACATTGTGTTGACTGTTGAGTATTTTAATAACGCAAACGTAGAAAGTACTCAAAAAACACTCACCTGAATGGAATAGGAGAGCCTGTTGTATTGTTCAGTGGCAAAAGTAGACCAACTAACTGATTCGTTTTCGGATCATAAGTAATCTTCGATACGATGGCTGTGGCATCTTCCGAGAGCCAAACTGTTTTTACAGTTTTCACGCTGCTCAAATATTGCGATAATTCTTCACATCTGAGCTGTCCTTCAACAAGCCGAGATTTATTGCTTTCAATGCACCTCACTAGCATGATAAATAATAAATAGTTTTGAAGAATAATGGACTAGATAATGGATGTTTTTTTACTCACATATGGTTTTTATCGATGGTAATGGCAGATTACCACTTAAAAATGCATAAGCAGAGCGGCCTGCTAATAAGAAAACATATGTGGAAAAATATCGAATTAAATCCGTATAGCGGGCTTGGTGCTTTTCACTGTTAACATTTTGCTGAAATGTTTGCACCATTGCTTGTAATATGACTGGAAGTGGCGAACTTTGTGTGGCTATTGAATCCTTTTGTGAAACTTTAAATTTGTATTTTGATATTCCTAGTAGAAAGTCTCTATGGCCTGGTAAAAGTTTGAAGTTCTTTTGTTTTTTATAGAATTCAGAGTGGCAACAATCAAGACTTTTTATTGCGTCACATGTATTCAAATGTTTTTCTATATCTGCAATACTTTCTTTCGATATATTTTCAATACTTGAAAAAGTATCGTACCCAGATTGCGTTAAAAAAATTTGAACGCAATTTGGAACACTTTCACCAATAATATTTTTTATTTTTAACCAATCCATATTTGTTTTAGTAATTGATGAATGGAACAACGAAGCTGATTGAAAGTGTCAAAATAAAAAATGTCAAACAATGCCAATACGTAATGGCGCTAGTGTGGTCGGATCAAAATACGTAAATTATCAATAATAGAAATATTAGCATGTTTGTATAGGCA